ATCTGTGGCTGTGTGTGTGTGTTTACCTATGACAGATGCAAACAGCTCTGGTGCTGAACTGCCAGCTGCCATGAAGGTGGCACCGGCGACATCTTCACTCAGATCCAGTTTCTGCAGGAATGAAGCACAAAGGAGACAATGATCGTCCACTGTTCAGCTACAGTGTTGCCCCCCTCCCTCCGTCCCCCAACAAAGACACTTCACACACATCTATGTGTTCCATCTACCTCGCAGATCTTCTCCAGCGATGTCACAAAGTACTCGTCACAGGTGATGGCGAGGGCCAGGAACATGTAGAGGGTCTGGACGGAGAAGGAGCCACATACATTAGAGTCCAACATTAGAGTTCAACATTAGAGTCCAACGTTAGAGTCCAACGTTAGAGTCCAACATTAGAGTCCAACATCAGAGTCCAACATTAGAGTCCAACGTTAGAGTCCAACGTTAGAGTCCAACGTTAGAGTCCAACGTTAGAGTCCAACGTTAGAGTCCAACGTTAGAGTCCAACGTTAGAGTCCAACATTAGACTCCAACATTAGAGTCCAACATTAGACTCCAACATTAGAGTCCAACATTAGACTCCAACATTAGAGTTCAACATTAGAGTCCAACATTAGACTCCAACATTAGAGTCCAACATTAGAGCAAACAGAAAAAAAGGATTTTAATCCATCTGATCAGAGTTTTTGGCTGGGAATGTAAAGCACTTACATATGTTGCCACTAGGTGGCACTAATGAAATTTAAAGGACACAAATTGCAATTAACCACAAAATCCTCCATGGAATAAAACTCCATAGATCAGCAAATAAATACTGCACAACTACACCCAACACTACACCCCAACATGTTGTGTAGTTTTCACAACGTTTGTTAATATTTTTTTTTGAACACTTATTTCACTGCACCGTATTTGCTGTTTTTGTTCAGTTCTCAGCTCTGTTGACATCAAATGCTGCTCTTGTTCATCACCTCATCAACCAGATGTGTGTGAGCAGATCAATTATAATAAGGAAAAACTAAATGAGATCAGTCAGCAGAGGTAGAGGACGACTGTGAGGCAGGTCTGTAGACTGGCCCAAGGACAAATGAAGGGGATTCCTGAACCCAGAGTCCAATTAAAGCAGAAATTGCATCAAATTCAAAATGTCAGTTCACTAACGAGATATTTTCCAGCTGTAAATCTGTGGGATCTGCGCACACACACACACTACTGCACACACACTCATGTCAAAGTGTTTATGTCAAGAGAGAACGACGTGTAGTGGAGGGGTTGTGGGTGGGGTAGGTGGGGGGGAGGGAGAGTGGGGGGGCGCTATTTTAGTAGCTGAGCAGAGATCTATAAATTATAGATCGGCTCTGACATCATCAGAGCCCAGCAGGTCTTGGAGGCTTGCTCTGCTCTATGCTGTCCACAGGGGGCAGTGCAGGACCATAATATATTCATATATCTCCCCCACTCGACTGTCACAACCTGGAAAACATGAAACCATATTTGACTGTGGGCCATGAAGGTGGACGGTGAGATGAGTGCAGCATAACTCTGGGTTTAGGTCAGAGTCACGTCAACACACTCACACCTGACTGAGGATCGACCAGAGGAAGAAAACCTGACCACAAACCTCCACGGTCATCATTACATATACATCGCTCCTGCTTTATGATCCGTTTTAATTTGACGACTTCAGTCTTTCAAAGTCTGTCCTGGAGAAAAAACCAGGTTGAAACGTCAGAGGTTCCATAACTTTATTTTTTACTTATGACGTCAGAGGTTCCATAACTTTATTTTTGTACTTATTTATTTTAAGGTTATGGCACAGGTCGTCAACACTCCCTTCCTGAAGTGCATCCATATAACGGGCTACACTCCCCGACCTTCAGTGGGAAACACGTGCTCAAAGGTTTCATCTCTAACCGAGCATTCTCTTCTGCTGAGCTGTGACAGACACAGTCGGAGAGAGAGGTTTCCTCCGTCCAAAAATGATGAATTAGTGACAGCGCTTCAATTTCGCAAAATATTCACTTTTCAAACCCGTCAGAAGTTGAAGAACTAAAGTAGAAGGGAGGAAGTTTAAAACAGCAGTGTATTCAAGTCAGTGAATGGAGAGAAAAAAAAGAATCTTTTCAATTTATTCCCTAACTTTTAGTTGGGGTCATATTTTGGACACATTTGCCCCTGTAGAGGTTGATTTTAGCAGCTTTTAATGGCTCTGTTGTTCAATATTGACAACTTGATTGTTCAGTACTACTTCCACATGTGAAAAGCAACAATATTTGCCATTTTTAGAAACGTCTGTTTCTAATTTTTGCTCCCCTGAAACAACACATTCATGTTGAATTTACCACACAGCTGCAATAATGACCAGTTCAACGGAGGCTGACAGTATCCAACAGGTGTACAGAGCAGTAGTAGTAGCAGTATATATTAGCTCTGAGTGTTCACTGAGGAGCTGAAGCTCTCCTGTAGGAGACGACCATCACCATCACCACCATCATCATCATCATCATCATCTTTACGACACACTCAGCCATAAAATCAAATGGAAACTCCTCCTCGTTCCTCTGAGTGCAGCCAGGACATTCAAAGAAACACACGAGGCTGATGTTAATGCTGTTTATCTCAGTCATATCAGCCGTGTGTTAGTCTTCGAGCTATGGGTTATTAGTTTGTCAAGACTGGTTTACAGGAGATAAAACTATAACTGACAGAAAACACCTCGACATCCACCGGTGAACGGAGGTGAAGTGGCTCTCAACACCACAGGAGTTTCCATTAAAGAATTCCATCTGTGGAGAATTCTGGGAGATTTTGACAGAAGTGACTTTTAAACATTTATCAAGTTCTGGGACAAAAAAAGCTGTTGCAACACAATCATTTTAACCGGTTTTAAATTAATTTTAGTGATTTCTTTTAGTGAAGAAACGTTGTGACGTTTAAATTGTTAACTTTCTGAGGATGAAAAAACATTTAGCTTGAAGCAAGTAGCTTCAAATAAAACTCGACACAGCTTCTCTACTTCAGCCTAATCTGAGGCAAATTAATGCCGTGATGACTCCACTGTCCTAGTAAAAAAAATTGAATCGTAGACTTCCAGCCAAAGTGTCATTCGTTAGATGACGTTGAACCTCGAAGGTACGACACTGTGTTTGGACTAAATACACACTAATGGGACAAACTGGTGCCACCTCCAGGGTAGAACTGATACAGTACAGTACGTCAAAGACAAAATCGACTCAGTGAGTCCTCTTACCGCCACAATGTGCAGCATAACGGCCCCCGTCTTTCGTTCGTTATTGGTGAAAAGGTCATCTGGGAACTCGTGTATTGCTGTGGAGAGAGTAAAAAAATATATAATGGTCAGCAGTGGAACAGTCCCCACAGTAACCTGGGGGGGGGGGCTGTGTTATTGCATTATGGACGTTGTTCCTCCAGGAAGTAGGTCTGGGAAGCCCTGATGACACGACACGATTGGTTGGAGGAAACCTGGGGTTTCTCCACCTCTCGTCCCTCGTTCCCACAGCAAAAACATTCAAGACCAGTGTTGGTGAAATGTTCATTTTCAAAGCAGCCTTGTCTGACTTTGAGTTATTAATGAGCTTGATGTTTGTCTTTGAGAAGTCATATATTTGTGGGAACATTCTTTAGTAATGTCTAGTATTTTTTGGCTAAATATTTCGTATTACTGCGTAAAATCTGACACACAATTCATGTTAGAAAATGCTAAATTTGGCACAAGAAAAATAAATCTATTTGTATTTTTTAAATTAAGTTATGCAAAAACCAAATTACAAATACAATAATAAAAATAACATGAATTATAATTGACAAATTAAATTATAAAGTTTGTTTAACCAAAATATATTGCAGTATTTTACGTCACTGGAAAACCAAACGCCCCGTGTTTTGTTTTCATCAAGCAGAGAATGAGAATCTGACCCGCAGCCTGGGTCTATATTAGGAGCCTGAAGTTGTACGGAATTAAAGCTAAGCAGGCAGAAAAGTGTCCCATGCTGAGGACTCGTCATCCATCATCCAGATCTCCAGCTGGAACACGGTGTGATGGTGGCACAGAGATACGAGAGAGAGCAGCACTGACACTTCACGGTGCACCTGCCTGCAGCTGCAGCCTCGCTGTGTTTAATACCCGTCTATGTTCTCTCTGTCTTTAAAAGGCCTGGACTATTGTCAGAATATACGGAGAACAGAGAGCCTAGAGCTCCATCTGCTGGAGTGGACGGTGCTGAATGAAGCTACATTAAATGACATGTAGCTAATGAGCGTTGCTTATTCACTGAATCTCAGGCATGATGTGCAATTACAGACTTTATTAGCCTTTGAAGTGTTGGTTTTTTTTGTTTTTTTAAAACAAGGGCAGATGCTCTGGGGTGGCCAACAATTCTCTGGGGTCAGCCCCACAACTCTCCCATGACCCCTACTGGGGAATCAGGAATCGCCGGTAATGATGTGACTAATACAATCTTCCTACTTTGACCTACTTAAATCAAAAGCTGTTTTTCTCTTTTTTCCACAACAAAAAGTTGTGAAGGACCCCCCTCCAATCCCCCCCCCCTCCCCCCCCACCCCAAAAAGCAGAACCAATGTGTCATACATGTGTTCATCATGCCTCTCACAGAGACCCTTGGACCCATGGAAGTCAGCTGATTTCACTCTGACTAACACATCCTACACTGACACCCCCCCACCCCAGCCCACCCCCCCGCCCCGCTCACATCTGTGGGCCAAATAAACAGGAATAAACAGCTGCTTTGTTGCTGCTGCTCCATTTACACACAATACTTTGGGGGGAAAATGCAAAAGAAAAAAAAAAACAAATGCAGTTTGCAAAACTCCGAGCCTCTGTCACATACGGCCTGAAAAACTGGAGCAGTGCTCACCTGAGACTCTACGCCACATCTGTCCCAACCCAACTTTTCTACCATGGTGTGTTCACATGACTGAATCAGCGCAGCGTCTGGAACACTGCACAGGAAGTGGTCCACGTCCACGTATTAAAGCCCACACCTCCTGGGTTACAGTCAGTTGCATCAAGAACATGGAAATGTGACACTCTTCTGCATCTCCATATGTCAGCCGTCAAATTTGGTTTTGTTTGTTGTTGTTTTTTTTACAAAGACCAAACAGAGTCACGACACATGAAAAATACGCCGCTATTTTTGGACGTGGGAGACAAATTAATCCGACCTTGATTTGTAGGAGATTTATCTCACAGGTGTCACCGCAGCACACACACACACACACACACACACACACACACACCCAGACATTCACACCCCTACTATGAAGGGTGGGGGTTATAACAAATAAAAGGATTTTAGGATTTAACAAGTATAATTTAACTACAATCTCCATGACCATTAGTCTGGTTTATGTCTAAAGTTAATGAGTTAGTGAAGTTAATTACAGTGACGTGGATTCATCATTTTAACCTGTTTTAGTCTAAATATAAGTGACATTTAAATATTGTTATTCCATGTTTGTCATCCTGTTGAGACACTCATGTGATTCTCACCAACTGTTTATTCACTGTTTAAAGAGTTGGGGGGGGCAGGTTATCAGTAATTTATATTTTTCTGCACATAATTTATGACCTGGCCTTTTTAGCAGAACAAGTTGTTGGAAAATTTTACTTTTATAATTAGCTCTAGGCTCTAGTTTTCACTATTTTTTATTAAATTTTCTGTCTTGTATTAATGTCTAACTGTGTAAAATGTATAAATCCTACATTGAGTCTTTTTGGTTAAAGTTACAGTTGGATTTTAAAGTGAAACTCTTGATTTTACTGGTTTAATACTCAGGTCAATAACCAAAAGTCCAGCCCAGGTTTCCATCACGTCTGAAAGTGTGGCCGCTTCTCCAGAGGTGGGTTGTTGTTTATTAATCTACAGCGTAATGAGAGATTGAAGAGGACGACACTGCAGACCAACGCTGGCCGTGACGAGCGGCTTTAGCTCATTCCATTCCTGATGGGTTTATGTGACACGGAGCCAACGGCCTCCAGCGGAGGCAAAAATCAATGACAGGATTTGTCAGCTGTGCCCTCACAGAGGCTGAATAAAAACAAATTCACGCTGAGCTCCAACCTGACCTCGATAAAAATATAAAATAAAAAAATAACAGCCGAACGATCAGGTGTTCCTGTAGAACATGGAGCAGAAACATTGAAGTCTGACTCCCTCGCCCCCTACGTGCTCCCTCTCTCTTTCTCTCGCCTCGTCGGCCTTTCATTAATCAATAATTGAACACTGTGGCGGTCCGGCATTCTTAAGTTACTTGTCGTGGTCCCTTGCTGCTATATACATCAGCTCAGACTGGGCGTGTTAAAAATAGGTGCCCACAGAAGGTGTTTTAAAGGGCACCAGCACCAGGACATGGAGATGACAGGCAGACGGAGGAGGAGGTGACTTCCTCTTCCTCCTCCTCCTCCTCTTCCTCCTCCTCCCTGTAAAACACTCACTGAGGCAGACAGCGTCCGTGTCTCCTCACGGCGGAGGTCACAGCACAAGGAAAGACGCTACCACCACAAGGACAGGACAGGAAGTACACGGGGCCACAGGCAGATTGCTTAAATCATGCATCTCAAATGAGGCCGCGGAGCCGGAATCATAAATAATATGGAACTGGGTCGGAGCCAATGCCACTTAAAGAGAAAATTGTATGAATAATTGGAGGGGAAAAAAAAAGTTAAAAAAAAGATTAGAACATTTCACACCGTTGTTTATAATTCATGCAGCATAAACTGTCAAACACCTACTGTATATAGACTAAAACAGAAGCACAGGTTTGGTGAATCATTTATACCTGTGTTGATCAAACCCTGGTTGGCCACCTCAAAATAGGGCGTGATGAGACAAGACTATACAGGGGTAAGTCATAAAGTGCTGGGACAACTGACAACTGTAGCTTTTCCATGCTGGGACAACTGACAACTGTAGCTTTTTCCATTGTATATATAAACACACATACACACACACACACACACACACACGTTTTCTATGAAAGAGTAAAATCCAGGGAACAGACAGACACCACAGCAGCGAGTGTAAAATACTGGTGGATTTGTCAGAGTTTTTGGTTTGATTCTAATCTTCTGTGTTGCTCATCACCTCTCACTTGTCATTTCAGAGGTTACACAACGACCAAATATGAACACAGCTGCCGCTGTAGCTCATTATGCCCGGCAGACTGGGCCGGTTTGTTGAAACAGTGGCAGAAATCATTGAAGTAAATGTTTGAACTGTGCCAAACAAACCGTCGAAATCTGAATAAAACAACGTTAGCTGAACACGGGCTTCAGATATTTATGAGCCCTTCTGAAGAACCAAACAAAGTGTTTCCCTCCTGCTGTTTGTGGGTTAGACTGTCTGTATCTCAGCACTGAGCTCCCACTGATCCGTTGGGCTGTGTACTGGCCAACACAGCATCAACGCTGGAGCGCTGGCAAACAACGCAAATTAATCGTGATTTCAATATTTCATTAGTCGTGCCTCAGTGGATAAATTGCATCAATATGTATTTTTGTTCTCTTTGTTCTCCCCTCCCCCCCCGACTGCCTCCCACCAACAGATAACCACCTTACACTGACGTATTAAAGCTGGAGCATGCCATTCTTTACATTTGTGCAATTATATATTTCATAATCTGATAATATTCCAGATTTGATGCTACAGTTACATAACGGAGCTCAGTCTCTGCCGTCTGTTGTCCCAGACCAGGACTGTGTCTCAGCCAGCACTCACAGACCGGACAAAACCAAACAGATCATCAGTCCTGGAATCACATAAGCAGCACACTTCTTAGAACGTCCTCTGAGAAAGAAAGTGACTGAACCCAAACTCCAGTGAAGTCGGTACAACTACTACAAACTGTCCACTCAATTAATTCATCTTTTCAAGCAAGAACAGGTCACGGCCTGTCACAGCAGGTTGAATTTGGCTAATATTTTATATTTTAAAACAGACAGAATAATCAGCAACAAATATTTAATAAATAATAATAAAGGAACACTGACTGATTTTAGATCTGAAGGAATTTGCACCTGCTGCTGCCACACCAGTCACTCTCACACACACACACACACACACACACACACACACGTCAGATGATTCATGGAGCATAAATCACCCTTCAGTACAGTAACCTGGAGAACGTCTCCTCTGGTTCGTCACCCGTCCATTAGATAATTAACTTTCTAGCGGTGGACGTGAGTGGACGTCACCACTGGACCGACATGAGACATTCTTGAAAATATTAGTGACATCACGGCGGCCTCGGGGGAAATCTTTAAGTCCCAAAGACGTTACGTTTGGCCGGGCTGCGAGGTCGAGTCCTGGCATGATGTTGGGCCAGTTCTCTGACATGTCCATGTGACTGCTCACACATCACATGTAGCACCGCTCACACATGACCACATAAGCACTCTGGTGTAAGTCATTCCACCTGCATGAACACACTCAAACACCTATTGTACTGCACACTGCTAATTTTAGCCCCGGTGTACACGTGACTGTGTGGTGGTACAGTAGTACAGTAGTAGTAGTAGTAGTAGTAGTACTCCGTCTATTAGCAGAGCAGAAGACTCCCGGTTCAATACCCTCGATGGGACACTGCTGTGAAGCGTATGCATTAATCTGTGTGGCAGAGAAATAGGTGAGCGACCCCCTCAGGCTGAAGAGTGTTCCTGCAGCATCAAAGGGAGAAGCCAGCTGTAAATGTAAAGACACACTTTAACCAACGTCGCCGCGCGGCCAAACCTCAGCTTTGTTCTAAAGACACTCCAGGCAGATCAAAAGAGCCACGAAATGAACTGTTAAGAGGAAGATGATGAAGAGGAGGAGGAGGAGAGAGGGGGGGCTTCTAATCTCATGGGGAGAGGAACGTGAACTGGTATACACAGTACATAAAGAGGTCAGGCATGATTGAACTCTGCAGCGGGGAGAGTGCCGTGCGCAGGTGCTCGCCTAACTCTCCGCTGCATTGTTCCACGGTTGGCATGCGAGGCCGGGAGCGGAGTGAGGTCACTGTCCATTATGCACCGCATGCAGCATAATCCCCGCTCGAGTAATTCCCTTTTAAAAAGCCTCCTTCTGGTGTTTCCCTGGAGTGGACAGACCTGCAGCCTGCACACTGCTGGAAGACGCCCACCTCCCACCTAGTCGTTAAATTCCATGCCTGCTAACCCGCAGGTTAGCAGGCATGTGTTTATAATAATGTGTTTATAATAATTCTATTCTCTTCAAACTGTTGTGTTGTTCATTTACATAGAAACAACACGGTGAAAATTCAAATCTCATCAACACTAATCCATCACCACTTCTTCAAAGTCCTTACACCACATAAGTGGGAGGTTTTTTAAATACATGGTATTAAGGGCATCGTTATTAAAGGCTAATTCTGCCTCCTACTGAACATCAGCAACGCTCTTTTGCTCCTTCATCAATTTCCTGGACTCCTCGACTGGCACCACTGGGTTCCAGGAGGGGGTGGGTTCATACGTAAGCTTGGGGAAAAGACAGTATAATCTAATATTCCATGTCCCTGTGTAAACTTTCTCTACAAATACATCACTGATCCTGTTCTTCCTGCCGCCCTGAGAGAGCTAATAATACAACTGACAAAAAAAGACCAACATCTGCTCCGGAATTACTGCTTCATGCAAGAAAATGTTTGGAAAAAGTCAAAAGTACATTTGTTCCAGTGTGTGTGACACCATGTGTGATGGTTAAACAGTGCTCAGATGTTGCGTCAGGGCCTGCAGTGACACTCGGCCTCGTACAAGTCAGCGTTGTTATCACACAGATCTGGACGGAGCCGTGAGTTCACAGCATTTACACCGAACGGCCAATGACGCTGGCACTGGTGATGAACGGCTGTCCAAGCCCAGAAACACCAACACTGGCCCCAGGTGAGAGCAGAGAAGGGCTCCCTGGGTGATCAGACCAAAGCTGGCTGAGAGTCGTCTGTCTCTGCAGCCCACAAACAGCAGCCTAATTAAAACAGAGCGTCAGATGCTGCACACGATCAGCACTAAACACAGAGAGAAAAAAAAAAAAGACATCAGCAATAACCATCATCCAAACCAGCTCAGTTCCAAACACTGTCACTGCCCGCCCCCCCCCCCCCGGGGGGGGGGGGTGAGGGGGTGAGGCAGCGTCATCAGCTCTGTTCAAACAACAGGGCAGGGAATCAGAACAAACGGGCACAGATGTGCCAAACAAACACGTGTCTCAGTCTTTTTGGAGGAAAACTCGATGGCTGTCTTTCCCCTTGGTGGGACTGAGATCCAAACGTGGGTCGTGGGGCTAATTTAGCCCAGATGTCCCAGCCAAAAATACTCTTTTACGTTTTATGGTTAGTGTTTTAGGGAGCGTTGAAAAGTTACACAACAGTTTACTTTTTCTCTACTGAAGACACTGACAGTTTTTCACTCACAACAACACAGAGTTGCTTTAAAATCTGAAAATCAACTCCTGAACTGCCTCTCCAAGGCAAAAGTGAAGAGACTGTTGAAACACAAACCATCCGTACAATCAGCTGTCTGATTTCTGCAGCTTGCGTTACAGGATTACTCACGAGACCGAGGGCTTTGAACGAGGAGTCATGAGACTGGTTTGCATCACGGGAAGGATAAGAGGAAGAAAAAGGAGAAGTTGAGCTGCTGAGAAATGTCTAGAACATTGAGGTACAGTTGTGGTTTATTCAGGAGTTGCTGGAGTCTTTGGAATAAATTGGGGGGGGGGGTAATCCCTGAGGATTAGGAGAAAAGACATCAAGAATGTTATTCTGTCATTTGGTGTTTTTTCACTCCAAGGCCAATGTGAGTGAATGGAAAAGGAACTGTTAATGCCTTTAAACCTGTGTGTTTGAGACAGCAGATCAACCAATCAGATTAATCTGCTTCTGTAATGACACAACCTGACATTAGTAAATATTAGCTAATAGAAGTAAATGGTTATTAAATGCAAAAACAGCATTAATATTTATTACCTCAGTTTCATAAAGTGAAATCCAAAATTGTGGATTTCATACAAATCAGTGGTTCTTTAAACTTGGCCCAATGGAAATAATGTTGCTAATCTAGGGATGTTTTCATTTATGACTTAACTTTATCTTTGGTCAAAATAATAATAATAATAATAAATAAATCTGATCACTGCTTCTCAGCCTCTCAGCTGACACCATGCTATCATCAGTCACATGCTAATGGCTTCTATTAAAAAACAAACTAATGTCAAGTGAGTAATGTGTTCCATACAGTCAGTAAAGTGCGATAGAAATAGAAATAAATGAATACATGGCACAGTCACATGAACCTCTGTGTTGAAAAACAGCCAACAGCACCAATTAAGAACGGACCAATCAGAATGACAGACGCCGAGGTCACAAGACACTTGTCGCTGCTGTCACTTGAGCAGCGTTTCAATCAATAACTTCATGACAAACTGTACGTGGTTGTATTTTCACAGAGGGATGGAGACGTCAGCGTTGTGTCCACGCTCCGTCGTCTTCTTTAAGACGAACCAAAGACACTGCTGGACGATCCATAACTGTCCCACCATCAGAGAACTGTCAGGCCTTATTACTGACCCAAACCCAGTCAGAACAACGTGGACGACAGGCGAGGGAGTGGTACGGCAGTTAATATACGAGGTTGGACACCATATTGTTTTTACCTCTCACCAATTTCACAGTAATTTTACACCAGGGGATTTTAACTCCACCTTTAGCTACAACTCTGAAAACGTCCTCATCCAACGTCAACATTGTTGACATCAGAGTATTTCATGTTGCTTTTTCCAAAAATAAATTGGGTTAGTATTTTGCTACAAAAGTGTGTTCAAATATCCCAGCTACATTTTCCTGTGCAGGCACACAGGCATTATAGTGTAGCTTTCATGCCAACAGCAAAAAAGTTGGTGTAATTCAGGTTTATACGGTCAGTGCATCTTACCCGGCTCAGAACAGTTCTTTGGCTCCGTTTCATTGTCCGACTCTGAGGCCATTAGCCGTCTTCCCCAGTGCTCTGGATTTGGCTGGACCTCCACCGTCATCCCATGACCTGCAACAGAATCCAAAACAGCTTTGATTAACACATCATCACACCGACACAGGTCTGTGCACCGACACCAACTGTGTTTGGATGCTAATGCACCAGATTTAAAAACAAAACAAAAATAAAATAAAAAAAACCCACTGTGATTTAAGGTAACAACGCTTCTGCACGGATCATGTTACATGATCAAAAATATCCCAGTGATCATGATCATTCACCCCGACAGGTTTTCTCTTTCTTTGGTTTAGCTTTTATGTATATGTGATATTTCCATCCGGCAGCAGCAGCAGCAGCAGCAGCATTAAAATGCTGATGCCGTGCCATTATGTTTAAAGACGCTGGAGTGGGAGGAGGTTTCATTTTTCATTTAACGGCTCTGAAGCCTCTAATGAGAACATAAAAACAGCAGTACGCTCCAAATATATCATGTCAAGCTGCCACAAATGAGCTGAGCAGCAGTTTTTAAATTTGAAATTTCTACAAAGCACCGACCGATTAGGCGGCGTGGTCGTGCACCTTGATCACCAGGGAACGCTGAAGACTGACGGCCTGGGTTCGACTGTGGAGTTAGAGTCATGTCCAGATATCTGGTTCACACTGGAGGTCAAATAAACTGCTGCTAACTCAAAGTTTCACAACCAACTTTCAACCCAACAACCTTACATTCGGTGCACACTGCACGTCGGAGTACTGTTTAAAGGGCAGAGAGTTTTTTAACAATTACTTCAGACAACACACATTCTATAAGATAAGATAGGGGTATTCAACATAAGGCTCCTGAGCCACATGTGGCTCTTTAGCAATCCAAATTTAGCCTGTGTTTCTAAACCTGAGCTGAGCTGGCAACTTTCAGGCAGAGAAAGAAATGTTGAAATGTTGCTTCTTGCGTCAGTCACTTTGTGTACTTATTTAATGTAGTATTACTACACTAAGTACTTCATCCTCTGCTCTACCGCCATCATTAAATGTCCGAAATGTTTAGTGAAACAAAACAAGTTAGTGAAATAATAACAAGTGCTGGAGTTGAAGGGCTGCAGGCCCCTGAGCCAGGCAGTAAATGTGTGCATTAGCATTTAATGCTATTATCTGTACACATGTTTTCCACGCCCCAGTGGTTTAGCACTTCTCAGATGATTCGTTAAGCTCATACTGTATGTTGACCACGCTCCGTGTTCTGCTCTTCAACTTCATAAAAGCTGTGTTTTTCCATGCTGTCCTGTGTGACCCGGCAGATTAACTGACACTTTTTGTTTTTGTTTTTTGGCTGCAGTTAAATAATAATCTACCCTGTAAAATCACCATTCAAATGTATAGAGAGGAGTCTGGAACTAATTCACTTAATCCAGCCTGGATACTGAATGAGCCACTTCAGGAAAAGGTTCTGTTCCCACTCAGCTGAGTCTTGGGCAAATGCTGGTCGAGTCTGGACTGGACCGGTCCAGTGACACACCTTGGACTGAACTAGAATCTGTCCTGATTCAGTTCTAGTCTTGTGTGAGTGACTATCCATGTCCATCAACCAAATATTCAAACTTTATTTGTTAGAATCTTTATATCTGTAGAGAAGTGAAGAAGAAACAACGTTGACACAGGATCACGTGTAAATATGGTTCAGAAATTAATGATTCAACGCTTCAGATGATTCATTATTCATTAACCAACACATTAATTATTTATCCATCAATTCCAGGCCACTTTGAGGTAAATTAGTCTCTAAATAATGACTGCATTCACACAACCACAAGTGCGTGCACACAGACACACAGACACACACACACATACTGTGGGTTTTCCAACTTTCATTAATTAACAATTGTAAAATCAAAGCAAAAACCACATTTTACTACTACTTGAATGGAAAGTTGTTCCAATTATTACAGTTTGTGACAGGCGTTGTTATAGCGCCATCTGCTTTTTTTTTCCTCCATTTTCCCTGAACTGAGGAAAAGAACATTTAAAGGGAAGTGAATTTGACTGAATTCCCATTATGTCCCAGAATTCCCTGCTTTTTTTTTTCCTTCATTTTCCCTAAACTGAGGAAAAGAACATTTGAAGGGAAATTAATTTGACTGAATTCCCTTAAAGAGGGAAGTCCTTCACTACAGGAACAACTTGAAGACTTGTTTGGACTTTAATTGATTGACAGCACGACGGTGTCATGTGACCCAGACGGCTGGAGACTGCGGTTAAATTTGAATCATAATCACATGTTCAACTGAAGAAGAGCTGAAACGTGAAACACTTTGAGGAAACGTCTGATGTAGAAACAACTAGAAGCTGAACTAAAGTAGCCCCCAAACTGAGTCTTTGGTCCTCGTGTGCACGATGGCCACGCCCTCTTCTTCTACAGTGCATGGACAGACGACAGTGTCACCTAAACTGGCTGCGACTCCCACATGAACAGCCTGGAGATCAGCAGGCTCTGGACAAACAGACTGTACACCAGGCCACGGCAGCTGCCACCTGGTCCTGTGGTCCAAAAGTCTGAGCCCTGCAGTCACACAACCAACCTGTTCCCCTTCACTAACCAACCTGTTCCCCTTCACTAACCAACCTGGCCTCAACTCTTCTTCTGTCCAATCGCTTTTCTCTGCCCTTTTTGAATTAGTGACAAGTGCAGGTGAAACCATAAGGAATCCATTCATTATCAAGTGAGGAGTTCAAGAATTGCAGGACCATCCGAGACATTGGTCATGTGACGTTAACACATTTGAACGTCTCGATGAGTGACTTTAAACCCGCCTGTTGTTCAAGTTCATGTCAGCCAGAGTTCATCTGAGACAGGGTGCAGGAACAGACCATCCTAAACTCCAGGTAGATAAATCAGAGTTGTATGTTTTTGATAATTGTGCAGGACGTGTGTGAAGTCACGTGACGTGTGTCACTAAGAAAATCCTTCTGGCTCTGGAGCTAAAACCCAGAGCTGCAGTCTGTTGTGGAGCACGCTGACGTTGGCTCGGGCTTCGCTTCACTTTCTCCTGCCAGCTGACTCACTTTCATTATTGGTCTGGTTCCCTGTATTCAACAGCCACTGTTGTGGAGTTGGTAAAGATTAC